CATTTAATAAAAAAATGTTGGCCTAAATAAAGTATAATATTAAGGAAAATATTCTTAAAATTAATAAAATTGCTGCACAAATCCTATCCTCTTCTTCAACCGATAAAAATTTTCCTAAACTTACATTGGACTGTATATTTTTACCCTGTTTCAGCTTAGAACTGTGCAAATAGTAACTAAACAATTTCAGTGTCGACATTTGTGCAGCAATATCTTAAATCCTTGGAATATTCTGCTTTTCTTTAAACCTTGATTCTGTAAAACAAAGTAAGGTATGCCCTTGCGCCAAAGCGATTTTGTTGATGTTTCTTATAAACTTGTGTAGTAAAGGTCGATGACGTCATGATATGACTTCATAATGTGTACTGGCAGTCGCATATTGTGGGTACCAAGAATGTAGTAGATAACAAGTCTTAACATTTTCTTTGCGGTATGTATAGCAATAATGGGTCTTAATTAATTATTTTGCATAGAAAACTCCATACGTAGCCTTAACTCACTTGCGTTCTTTCTAAATCATAGGAATTCCCTGCAGTAAGGATACACAAATCTTTTTACTTACATGACCTCCTAAATGCTAATTGTGATGTCATAAACTTGTACATTTTCCTGTATTTTCTTTAAAAGTTAAATGCAGAAGACATCAATTTTCAGTGGAATTTTCTTTCAGAAAACACGCTCTACCACCATCCGCCAAAAAGATTTTGATATATGTGATTTTTCATAGCAGTTTACATAATATATCCAAAAATTAAAGTGGGCGACGGTGGCAGACACTATTTAGCACAAAAAGAGTCATATTGAGGCTTTTCTGCATTAAACTTAGAAATATACCAAATTAATGACGTCATATTTCCAGAAAGGTCCTCCTTCATGCCATATTCTTCAATGATTTATCGTATTCAACAACTCATTTATTGTTGAAGCCAATTTAAAAACTTTTTAAGAACACTTAATTTTTAGGGCACAATAAAGCTCAAACCGTACCTTCTTCTATGAATGAATTCAAGAGAGATCGATTGAAGTACATTTCTAAAGAATTATATTATAGGGTGGTGAAAACTAATACACAACATAACTTTTCTGTTTACCATATTCACATTATCCAAGGTTTTAGTATTCTCCTGACTATTCCAAAACTGGATCACATAGTAGCAATTTCATTAACAGTCTCCACGTGCTAGTCACTTCCTAGCCACATTTCCTTGAATAATTTACCCTATCTCGCTGTAGTCTTGCTAACTCTCGCCAGAGCCACTGCCAGAGCTACTCTGAAGTCATCTGGTTTATAATTTGCAGAACACCAAAAAATAAAAGGTTTCGAACACATTAGTAGGGGTGTTCCACATAAGGCCAACATTTTTTTATTAAATGGTTTACGGGAATTTTTTTGAAAAAAATTGGGTCGGGGGGATAAATAAAAATAAAAATAAAATTCCATAATCTACGCAGTCGACTAAAAAAATAAAAATAAAATTGGAAAAAGTATGTGATTTTTTTATTTTTCATAATTCAATAAAAATGCCATATATATGGTGTGGAGCTTGAAATATGATAACAACAACACAAATATTAAAGTACCCTTAGCTACTAAACCCTTGGAAGAAATGGGTGAATCTAAGGATTTCCTTATAAAAATACTCCTTAAGACAACAAGATGACCAAAGAAAAAAGTTTGCGTAAAATGAGAACTTCACTATGTTCAAATTAACCAACAAATGAAAAATGGGAAAAATATTGTTATACAGAGAATCTGAATAAAACCAAGCATCATAATTCTAATCTGTATTTTACAATACAGCATATGTTTTATGCAATTAATAAAATTTTGAAAGCTTGATAAAGTTGAAAGTATAGACAGATTTGAAAACCGTATCGTTTGCAATCTTTATATATATGTATATCTATTCTATAACTGTTGAACACACACCAAAATACTTAAAAACTTTTCATGGATATACATGCAGATACGTTACATTTTGTTCTTCAAAAAATTCGGACATCTATTTTCGATTTCCATTTACGTATCACGTTTACAATCAAAATTGTAAAAGAGAACTACTGTACTGTATACGGTACCCCACCTCGAAAGTGACAGTCATGTCAACATATCATCTAGTCATTTCTTTAATTACGTCATATCTCCAACTTAACTTTGTCATTGGATGTACTCTTATTGATTTTCCTGTTCGCTATGGTTGACTTGCAAAAACGATCGTGAACTATCGTGTATAAGGACGACGTATTCTCAACTTCTGTAAAATTTGACATTTCTGCGTCCATGTTGGCACGTTTTATGCACTTTCGAAACAGTTGATAAGAAAAATAAATTGATTGGATGATAAGAAATGCTTTCAATACAACAGCCAATCAGAATTGCCGACTTATTTGCACATAATTTTATTTTTTTGGTGCACTTGCATTGACGATCGGCGGGAAATTTAAAAATGAAATCAACAACAGGGACTTTTATTTTTATTTGGTTTTAGCTAAAATTGCAGTCGGCGCTCCCGTAAACCATTTTATTAAAAAATGTTGGCCTAAATTCCAGCTTTTCTGGCCCAGTGGTTCTTAAGAAGAAGATTTTTAAAGGTTGTCTGTGGCGTAAACGTATTCAATGGCCGAATGGTTAGCGCGTTGGATTTTCATGTGAGTGACCCAGTTTCCATCCCCCTTATGTCCGATTTTTTTTATCATTTTTCCAGCTAGATTTTTTTGTTTTTTATTAGCTCACCTGAGCCGAAGGCTCAGTGAGCTCTTCTGATCAAAATTTGTCCATTGTCTGTTGTCGTTGTTGTCATCGTTGTCTTAAAGTTTTCACATTTTCATCTTCTCCTCAAGAACCACTGGGCCAGTTTCAACCAAACTTGCCACAAAGTATCCTTAGGTGAAGGGGATTAAAGTTTGTTCAAATGAAGGGCCACACCCTCTTCCAAGGGGAGGTAGTTATGAATTAATGAAAAATTACTGGCATCTTTTAAAAATCTTCTCAAGAACTACTTGGCCAGGAAACATGAAACTCATGTGGAATCATCCTCAGGTAGTGTAGATTTAAGTTAGTTAAAATCATGACCCCTGGGAGTAGGGTGGGGCCAAAATGGCCGATCAAAGTTTTACATAGGAATATATAGGAGAAAAATCTTCTTCTCAAGAACCACTGGGCCAGGAAAGATAAAACTCGTGTGGAATCATCCTCAGGTAGTGTAGATTAAAGTTTGTTCAAATCATGACCTTCAGAGGTAGGATGGGGCCAAATGGCCGATAAAAGTTTTACATAGGAATATTTACATTTCAAATGTCTTTGTCCGAGATAAAATTACCAATTGTAAATGTAATTGATTTCCGCATGAATGTTTTGGCGCGGTTCCAAAAAAAAAAAAACACGTGTAGGGCGGGACAACACCTAGAGAGAAGCAGGCTTGGAGCCCGTGGATTGGCGGAATCAAAGCATGTAAATATAAGGAATAACTGTCTTATTTTTCGAATTCATGAAGATGATCAATGGATTGGCTTGTGTGATAATTTTATGCATAAACGCCTTCGGCGTTTATGCAAATTATCACACAAGCCAATCCATTGATCACTTCATGAATTCGAAAAATAAGACAGTTATTCCTTAAATATATAGGGAAACCTTTAAAAATCTTATTTTCAAGTACTTCAAAGCCTTGCTTAGTGATATTTTAAGGGAATCATCCTCAGGTAGTGTAGATTCTTGTTTGTTCAAATCATGACAACCTAGGTGGTTAAAATTCAAGCCCCTCCCGCCCTTCAGTAAACTTTCAGTTCTGATCTGATATGTGCTTTTTCCTAGCCAATTGCTCAGGTGAGCGATGTGGCCCCTGGGCCTCTTGTTTCAGAATCGGACAGAAGACCTCTCGTTGCTCGCAATGAGATTGTTTCTAGTTATTATTATTTATTATTCTGATTTTCCCCCCACTTTTTTGTGCACATGATTTCTCAGCAAGTATTCAGTGGATTTCTAAGAAATTTTTCAGGAATAATGCGCATCAACAAGACCTTAATACGTTTGGAGAAAATTTGGAAATTAGCTTCTGGTGCTAAGTTTTGACCAATTTCCTGAATTTAAAATGCAATTTTGGCACTGTTACAACGCACTTTGAAAAATTACGCACTTTGAAAAAATTTTTCAAAGTGCGTTAAATTTTGGGACCAAGTCAACGCACTTTGAAAAAATAAAATTTCTTTTCAAAGTGCATTAATATCGACCATATTAACGCACTTTGAAAAACTGTGTATGGATTTGTCAATATTCCTGTAAATCTTAGGAAATGGGTATGATAAATAATTGAACCTATTTGATAATTTTACTGTGAAGAGGTCACATCAGGATGTGAAAGTGAGCGATTTTGATTTTTCCATACTTAGAAAATTCTTTCTCGCTTAAATGCTTTACTACAAAATACTAAATTTTTTTTCAAGTTTGCATGCATTTTATGTAAACTTAAATTGATTGAAAGTTTTCAACGTCATATCAGTTATGTAAACACATGTAGGCACATAAATATTTTGCAAAGATATGCATAATATATACATGTATGCATTTAAAATTGGGGCGTACCAGTGGGGTCAACTTTCAATTTGCTACCGACGGCTATGTACAATGTTTAAAAAAAAATAGTTGGGATGAGAGACCTTCTACTCGTCTTCTCCTTGTTCTCAATGAGGTTAAATGAGTTCATATAAATTTAAAAAAGTTTTTCGAAAGATATAATTATTACAATTTGATTTCCTCTATTACTAAAATCTAAGTCTAGAATTTTTATTTTCATTCATATCTTTTTTTCAAAGTGCGTTAAAAGCCTCCATGGTAAAAAATTATTATGTGCATTCTTAATGCACTTTGAAAAAAATTTTCAAAGTGCGTTGAGTGTGTCCAAAATTAAACGCACTTTGAAAAATTTTACGCACTTTGAAATTTTTTTCTAAGTGCGTAATTTTTTCAAAGTGCGTTGCCACATGGCACCCCTTTTTTTTTATCAAAAATGGCTAAAGATATAAACTGGAGACTTCTTGGAGACGATTGTTTCGTGACTTTTAGGTTTGCAGAATCATATTTTCGTGTGTCATCAGTACTTCCGGTCGCTACGGAAGCGAATTTTTAAAAAGTCTAGTTTTTCAACTTTTTTGTTTTCCAATATTTTTCTTTGATATTAGTATTATTAACAGGGACAGTTTTGCGAATGCAAAATATGTAATTTGTTTTAGAATCAAAACAGGCAATCGTGAGATATTCTCATTTGAAAATTTTGTTGAAACAGCTGTGTTTTTAATGGACGAATGGTTAGCTCATTGGATTGTCACGCGGGCGACCTGGGTTTCCTCCCCCGAATGTCCGATTTTTTTATATAACTTTTTCCAATAATTTTTCCGATAATTTTTCGTTTTTTTTATTCAAGAATCGGACGTTGCTCGCAACGAGATCGTTTCTAGTTGAACTACTATAATCATAGGTGGTGTAGCCATAGTCTGGAAATCAAAGAAATGGCATAATTCAATTCATTGCCATTTTGATTATACTGCCATGATTTATTAATAACAATAGGTGTTCTTTTCTCACGAATTGACCATATTTTTTAACTCATATATATATACGCATATGTTTGTGTTTATTTGGATTTAATTCATATTCTGACAGGTAAAAAAATCCTTGAAAGTGGAGGATCCAGATTTCTCCCCTCAAAGGAAAAAATTAAGATTGTCTAACACAGAAGAACATGGATGTTCTTATATTGGAGATGCAGCCCAACATATTGGAGAGCTCTTTGTGTATTTCCACCAGTCTGTGAGTCCTAGGGGTATTCTTGGATTCACCATTGAAAAGACCTGGGTAATTTATTTCAAGTTTATGTATAAATTGAAATTCAATAAATTTTAGCTATGCATTAAAATGACTGGGGCCTTTATAGTTCAGTCAAACTGTCATTAACCTTAAGCAAATGGCAACAGAATTTCTTTATTTATAATTAGTAAATTGTATTACAATCAACATATAAAAACTCTAGAAAAAATATATAAAAGCAAAAAGATGTATGTTTTAGAAATAAGTATATTTATACTGGTTTTAAAAAAATGTGTATTGCAGAAATGTGCTACCATATGCAACAAGGGAGACAATTTAAATTACTGTAAAGAAACCACTTTCCATTTTAAACAAGCATATTAGAATTAATAATTCATTTTGTAGAGATATTTGTGTGTAACATATCCTCTCATATGTTTGAACTTGTTTTTAAACTGTCATCACGGCCTTTTTTCATTACCCTATAAATGAGCCTGGCTTTCAGTACTTCTTAGTACTTTGATTTGTTCCCCAACCCTACCCCTGTGAGAAGATCATGAATAATTCATGATTTTCCTTGAATTTTTCATGAATTTTATTCATGAAATGTTCATGAAGATCCTATGAACTTATTATTGGACATTTTCAAATCATGAATTTTTATTCATGAAAAAAATGGATAAATATTCATGAATATTTTTTTCATGAATAATTCATGAAGAGTCAAGAAGATACATCATTTCAAGAATTTTCCAGTAATTAGTTTATTGGATCTTCATGAACTGTTCATGAATAATTTGTAAAATTTATTCAGGAAAATTTATTCTGAAAATAAATAAATGCTTTGCTTTAATGTGCTCTTTGGTATATAATCAACCATTTATGATGAAATAAAATAAATGATAAAATTTCCAGCCCCCAGGTCAGTGGTTCCTGTGGAGTGAGCTGCAGATCTAGTTATAAAGTGGAAATGCATTTTCTCTTTGTTACTCTGATCTACCACTGGGTATTAAGTAACCAGAGTAAGCATGCCAAGTGTATAAAGGAGGCATATTTTGTATACTTTAAGGCCTATGATCATCAAAATTTGACGGGCATATCATGCAGTGGCGGGACACTTTATTAGATTTATAGTTTTAGTGAAACAAAAGATAATTGAAAATGCATGTTCACGTTTTTTTGGGACCCATGGGCCTTTGTTATGAATTCATGTTACTTTTTTTTTTTTAAATTTCCCCCCCCCTAAGTTTTGCATTTGAATAATTCAATAGTTCTTATAATTAAGATGCATCATTTTTTTTTTATTTAGGTACGAGTTACATACCTTGAGGTACAAGACTCTGCTTGGGACAAAATTCGAAAGCCTGCAAATAGAGGTGGATATGTGAAATATGAGGCAACTGAGAAGCGTCCTCAATTTAAATACAGTAGACTCTACAATATTTTAGACCAAAGTGATCGCAGGGTATTGTTCAAAGCACTTTTCCTCATCCAAACGATGCTGGAGCCAAGAGCAAGTTTAAATTTGTAAATAAGAAAGAAGGGCATACAGTATACAGGATTATTTTCGCCCTGTTTTATTTTTGCCCTTTCACACTTGCAAACATTTTTGCCCCATTTTAAATTTGCCCACTCATAGTTTTGTTTAAGAAATTATTTCTTTGAATTCGCCCTGTTTTAAATTCACCCAAATGAGGGTAGGGCGAAAGGGGCGAAAATAAAACAGGTGGCAAAATTTCCACCTATACAGCATTACTTTGCTGCTCGGTCACTCTGTCAGTCCACCATCTATTTCTGTTCATTTTCTTCACAGAGGTTGCACTTATTCAAATGATTTTTTTTAAAACAGATTTACCATAAGAATATCTAGGTCAAGTTCTGTTTTGGGTACGATCCGACCATTTTGGGCAGAGTTGTACCCCTTGGACTTGGAAAAATTCCAATTATTTGCAGTTTCCGTTCACTTTCTTTGCAGAGGTTGAACATATTGATATGAAATTTGGTAAACAGATTTATCAGATAAATATCTAAGTCAAGCTTTGTTCTGGGTACGATTGAGCCATTTTTGACAGAGCTATGCCCCATGGACTTTTAAAAAAAATCTTATTTTGGGTGAGGGAAGGGGGTGCATTAGTGTTTTACAAACATCACTTGTAGGTAGAGGACCCAACACAATGCTGTGATTTTTCTTTTTCATATTGACATTGTTTCGTATTCAGTTATGATGTTACATGTCGAAATAATTATTGTAAATGGATCTCTTTTTGATATTAAAAGAAAAAGCGAGAAGAAGACTTATAGACGTGATAGAAAAGACTTAAAAAATAAACAGTGATAAGGAAAGAGACATTGATAATACGAGGATTAATAAAAATAAATTAATAATAAATAAATAAAATAGAATAAAACCAGTGAAAATAAATGTTATGCAATGAAAAAAGATATAGGACAAAAACTTATGTTGCCGGTCATGTGCTTAACTTTTGAAGATGCCGTGCAGAAGCATGTAAACAAATCCATAGAGATATAAATAAAACACTTCGTGTTGATTTGTAAACAGCACTGATTCTAAATGCTACGAACACACTAAAGCATTTGTCCTCAACATCTGAGAAGAAAAGAAATCCATGAAATATACAGTATTTTATATTTTGTATAGATACTTAGTAAATAAATCCCATTCATTTATATTTTCGCGATATATATCCGAGGAAAGGGTCACGTTTTTAACAAACGTAATCAGTGTTCAGAAACGAAAATATGATGAGGAATTGAATAATTGATTATGTTTTTCTGCACATAAGAATACTACGAAAGCCTATTAGGATCAATCTAGAGAGAGAAAAAAAATTAAAAGGCGTTATAACTCCTTTCAAAAAGGCGTAATAACGCGAAAAAAAAGCATTATAACGACTTTTGAAAAGGCGTTGTTAGGCCTTTCCATTCCAAAAGTCATTATTACACCTTTTTAAAAGGCGTTATAACACCTTATCATTCTAAAAGGCATTATTACGCCTTCCATAAGGTGTTTTTACGCCATTCTAAAACGCGTTATTACGCCTTTTGAAAAGGCGTTATTACACCTTTCTAAAACGCGTTATTACGTCTTTCTAAAAGGTGTTATTACGCCTTTCCAAAAGGCGTTATTATGCCTTTCCAAAAGGGCTATAACTCTTTCTGAATAACCATTATTTTGCATTTAACAGTCCTGTGCTTTTATCCCCCCCCCCCCCAAAAAAAAAAAAAGAAAACACCACCCCCACTCTACTGGCCAAACTCGGGACTTCTCGGTAAAACTTTGTTTAAATGCAATAATTTGCCACAGTTTTACACACTACAACAAAATATTCAGGAACCAAGCACACAATAGTTAATTATAATATCTAAACTGTAGCACTGAAGACTTTTCTCCAAAAGTGTGTATGTGAAGAGGGGGGTGGGGGGGGGGGTGGGCGGGGTTACCCCATTCGCACTCGTACTACTGGCCTACTTGAAAAGAAAAATGGAAAGGCATTATTTTATGTTAATAAATATATGAAAGATTTAATTAAAACCATCTTTATTTATGCAATTCTCTATATTCCTGCACATCTCACTGACAACTGTTTGCATTTGTATTAAGAGAAGGCAACACTCTACTTGTGAAGATACGATATAGGCAGATGTATCTTTGAGCTTTGCTTGCCATGTATTAAAATTCTGGTCATTTGAAGACATTTTTCTCTCTTCTTGAAAAAAAGCAGGCAAACTAGTAAAGGTATAATGAGCAATTGAAATCAATGATCTTTGGTAGAGGTGTGTCTGGTATTTAAGAAGGACTTAGTTGGTTCAACATCGAAAATATATGACGCATTTAAAAATCTTTTTTCCTGGAAATCTAATTGCTTTAGATCTGTTTAAATTATTTTTTGAGAAATTAGCCTATATCTTATTGTGAAATTCATGTCCCAAAGGTAAGGTTTCTGCACCCCCTCATCGGTTGGGCTAAATATGTTTAGTCATGTATTCAAAATAAAGACGTACTTTTAGAAAAGCGTAATAACGCCTTTTGGAAAGGCGTAATAATGCCTTTTGGAAAGGCGTAATAACGCCTTTAAGAAAGGCGTAATAACGCCTTTTGGAATGCGTAATAATGCCTTTTAGAATGGAAAGGTGTAATAACGCCTTTTGGAAAGGCCCAAAGGTAAGATTTCTGCCCCCCCCCCACTCCTCGGTTGGGCTAAATATGTTTAGTCATGTATTCAAAATAAAGACGTACTTTTAGAAGAGCGTAATAACGCCTTTTATAAAGGCATAATAACGCCTTTTGGAAAGGCGTAATAATGCCTTTAAGAAAGGTGTAATAACGCCTTTTGGAAAGGTGTAATAACGCCTTTTAGAAAGGCGTAATAACGCCTTTTGGAATGCGTAATAATGCCTTTTAGAATGGAAAGGCGTAATAACGCCTTTTATATATAATTAGAAAGGCGTTATAACGCCTTTTATTTTTTTTTCTCTTTAGATTGATCCTAATAGGCTTTCGTAAAATACTTTGTTTAAAGAGCATAAAAGAATTTCTTTCACCTAAAAATATCCCAGATGGAAGTTCTGTTGAAAGTTTGGTTATCACTTCAAAGCAGCATGTTGAAGTGCTTAAGCAGAAGTGACTATAACATCTGCTCATTAAATAGGCTATTCTGTTTCAAAAACATATCTTAATCATTGAAATAAAAAACACCAAAAGACCACCCTTCTATATCCGCCACTTATACTCATTGACAGACGTGGTCAAAGGCCAGACAACAAAAAATATTTCAACATGTTACAGAAAAAAATAAATTAAAAATATTTTTTTTCTTTTCTTTAGTAGATAAATTTTCAAACATTTTGTACATGTATTGAGTGTACATAGCCATTCAGTTATAATATCACACAGTTCCAAAAAATATTGTGAACGGGTTTCTTTCCTGACACTATAAAAGAAAAAGTAAGAATAAGACTTAAAGAAAAGACTTTAAAAATAAACAGTGATAAAAGAAAGAGACATGGATAATTCAAGGATCAATGCAAATAAATTAAGAATAAATAAATAAATAAAATATCAATGACAATAAATATTATGCAAAGAAAAAAGTATAGGACAAACAACTATAATTGTTGCTTTTTTGTTTTTTATTTCAGAAATTTGAATTTGATACACCGTAGGAACATTCTTAACAGATACAGATTTAAAAATAAAATCAGTTTATAAAAAAACACACAATTCAAGCAAAAATTAAGCTATGGTGGACAATTTCTATTGAATTATCCAGAACATAATTTGAACATTAATTTAACATATGTAAATGATGCTGATTTTCCAATAAGATACATTATATATTTATTTATCATATGTACTAGGAACACGTGCTTTAGTTTATTATGTGCTAATAAAAGCGACAGTAGCTATTGGTCAGTATTTAAAGGTCGATACCTGTAGAACAGGTGAACAGGTATTCACTTTAATCACGCTTTTAACTCATTCGAAGGCTTTGCTTTGCGACATTCACACCCACCCACCCACCCTCTTACTTACTTCACCCTTTTACTTGTATTTGTTTAATAAAGAAAGTAATTGTTTTCATTACAAGAAAATTAAAAGTTTTGTACACAACAGTTTAATTGTCAAAGATGGGAAACAATTTGCTTAGTCGCTCTAGATTATATTTTATGTAAAAATTTGATATAAATGTAAGATTGTAGTGTAATGGTACATATTAGTTACATATAGTTGAAATGTGTTTACAGATAGTTCTTACATTTATTTTGCATAGGTTTTACTTAAACTAGTCGATTAATTGTACATTATAATATGATACACACGTAAGTTTGTGAGAATGAGTCCGCCATTCATTTTGTTTACCTCGCAATTGCTGTGGACTTACAGGTTTCCATAGTTTATTCAACATAAATCGATGTTGTTTTTTATCTATGGTTTTTCCTGGGCGGCGAGGGAAGCATAATTGTGTTCATACATGCATTATATTACGTTTTTAATCAGTGAAGTGAGGACATATAAAAGCATTGTGTTAAAATGCATTTTGTACTGTTATGTGTGATTAATTATATTTTTGATATATTGTAGAAGGAAGGTAGCGAATCGGTACCATTGAAGACTTGTGTTTTGTAAATGTATACGTCTAATAAATATTGGCAAGCAAGCGCTTCTATTCCTATATAGACAAGTGTTCTTGTTTTGATTGTAAATAATTTATGTTCGTTTGAGTGAAACGAATTAGAACATAACTGGATTTATGTCCAAAAAAGTATTTTTAACTGTTTTAATATACATGTTTTAAATTAAAAATCATAATACCATTGAACTTTATAATTTTCAAACCATCATCTCTGAACAAGAGATAACATTTATGTTCATTTTAGAGCTATGTAATGTTTTTAGATTCAATATTTTTTTTAACCAAAAATGTAGAAATTATATGTATATAAGATATTTATGAAATAGAAATGACATAAGAGTTGCTTCGATTAAAAAAAAATAGATGCTTTCATAAGACAGTAACAGGTTCATAGTGTTTGTACTCTCCTTCGTACCTCAGTTACTAAACAAGAAGCCACACTGTACTTTTCCATATTTTATACAAATACATAGACGTAGCACAATATTAATGCACGAGCTTAAAATGCTCAAGGTGAGTATCTGACACATGGTCCACCCATGTAATTATTTTCCATAAAAAGAATTCATTAACAGTCTGAAATAAAAAAAAAAATGAAGCAAGAATTCTTTTAAAAAATGTTTGAGGAAAACTATTGTGAATTAAGTTTTGATGAGAATCTTGCGCATAAAACCACCAATCGTTTTCTAAAAGATGACTTGGTCATTTTTAAAATGTGTGAGGAATCTGAGGAAATTGCAATTGTACAAGAGTATTATGAACACAATGTGCCACCAATATGTTATTTTGCCGATTTTGTATACTCGAAAACACAAGGAGCCATGGCGGGTGTGACCGATCGGCAGGGAATGCTCAATCCTCCATGGCACCTGATCCCACCTTGAATGTTTTGGATGTCCATGTTTGCTCTTCTCCTATTTTGTATTGTTTAATGGACTTTTAGTCTTGAATACTGTTCGTTATCTCCAAATGTTTCATGTATTATAGCTGTTATGAAAATAAAGATATTTATGTTCCGTTGGTTGCAGAAATATCTTGCCGAGTTGACTAAGCTTGTTTTTTGACCAGACAGGCAAAACCAGTAACAAGTGTTTATTTGAAAAAAAGTCATTTATTCATAAAATGACGAATATAAAACTTGTACAAATAATGGGGGTCAGAGAGGACGAGAAAATTGAACTTTTTGCGTGGCTTCTCCTTTCAATAAAATAATACACAATGATCACACAAAATGAGGAGCCACACTGATTGGCCAAAAAATCCAAATTGTGGTTTGGGTAAAGCTAATTAAGTACATGTACGTAGCCGGGTTACACAGAACTAGGTATAATTAAAACTAGTTGCATAACGAAATCAAGAAAATGACAAATATTGGATATGAATAATACATCTCACATGAAGTTTATAATTTTGTATTTTATATAAATAATAGCTTAATATATAGTTCTGGATATTTTCTCTGCAAACATAAAATAGCTCTCTCAAAACGTGGAGTAGATACATATTT